CTGAAGCTCTATTCAATACAGTCCAACGCAAGTTGCAGCAATGTGGAATAGAAGTTGCTAACATGCGCGTGCAGTGTTATGACGGTGCAAGTAACGTGTCCGGGATCCACACTGGACTGCAAGCGCGTATCAAAGAGCTTTCACCATCAGCGCTTTACACGCACTGCTACGCTCATGTCTTGAATCTAGTGATCGTAGACACCATGACGAACAACACAGTAGCAAAAGACTTCTTTGGAACGCTGCAAAATTTATATGTGTTTATTGAATCTTGCCCGAAACGACATGCTGTGTATCTGAAACACCAAAGAGAGTTCAATGCTGCCGTTGAAGGAACAAACAAGCGGGAATATGTCCTCAAGAAGTTGTCAGATACCAGATGGGCGTGTCGGGCGGACAGCATCACAGCAATCTATAACACATTCGAAGCGGTAATCGCAACTCTAAAGGAGGTCAGAGAAAAAGAAAAGAAGCCACATATTGCTGCCGAGGCAAAAGGGTTGCTTCAAAATATCTACGACTTCGAGTTTATCTTAGCTTTGGAGGTATGCACAACTTCAATAAATATATATTTAATTGTATGTATTCTTGAGTTCAACGCCTCATAATAATTCGTATACTTAAGCTCGGGTATTCAACAAGGTGAAACTTTGACTGACTGTCACCCATACAATATGGGGGCCATACACCTGCAGATTTCAGATTGCTTATTTGATTTACCACAGGACGAGAAAATAGATTTGCAACAACTTTGCAACACGGTGCAAAGGTACAATTGCCGTAATCGCATCAATTTGCTATTTGAAAAGCAAATTGGTAAGCAAAATTTTCACCCTCAAATTGGTAACTACAATTCTTTTTTATGAGAGGAAAAGGGTATAGGATAAATTTGGTTCAAATTACCTTTCATTTGCACAAGTGAATTAGTGGGTATTTTCGTCCATAATTTGGTTTCTAAATTTGCTAAAATATTTGCAACCATGCAAATCTGATGCGATTACGGCAATTGCACCTTTCCACCGGGTTGCAAAGTTAGTGCAAATCTACTTTCTCGTCCCCCCCCCAAATAACCCCCTAGCTATGGCCCTGGGTACATTATATGAGAAATTATAGAAACTGGGACTTCAGGTTTGATCACTCGGACTTTATTATTAGGAATGGGATTATTTTATGAGTGTGAGAGTCTTTCAGAACTCAACTCTTCAGACCCTCGGACTTTTGTATCGTAAATGTATATTCATTTTAAGGTACTCAAAAAAGTCTTGCTTCTAAGTAAAGGGGTATCCGATAAATTGCAATCTGAAGACTTGGACGTTGTTACCGGCTGCGAGAGGGTTACAGATCTGCTCGCCTCAATCAGGGCTCTTCGGTGCGAACCAAAGTTTGAAGCTTTCTGGGAAAGTACTCTTCAAAAATGCCGCATACTAAGTATTGAAGAACCAAAAGATGAACGCGTACGTAAGATTCCTCGGAGAATTGACGACAATCCCGAAACCGCCGTCCACCTGTCGCCAAAAGACAAGTTTAGAGTTTCTTTCTATTATAATGTAAGTCACTCGATTACCGGATTACGCATATGTATAATTATAGGGTTGCCCGCCTAAATATAGACTGTCTCTAATACAAAATAAAAAGTAAAAGTAGGTGTGCATTTAATACTATCAAACTCATTAATAATTCATGAGGAAAATTGAAAAGAAATACATGTTTAATCAGTGTCTGTATACGCTGATAAAGAACCGTCCTGATTTGCATAAACTTTTCTCGCAATTTTCTAAGTTTATAACATTTATTTTTTAAACATAATTTGAAAACATGATTGTCTGTTTGAGGTCGTTTGATAAGTAATTTACAAAATTCATGTCCGTTCTGTATCAGTGTACACAGATACTCGTGCGAAGCACTCGTGTCTGTATACACTGATACGGAACGGCCACTTATTTTGTAAATAGTACTAAAAGTAGGTGTATTAAAGAATGTTTAGAATTATTTTCTATATTGTAGATACTAGATCTTATGAGCTCCTCAATTGAAAGCCGTTTCGACAAACATAATGCGCCAGTTCTAAAGGGACTTGGATACTTGGGTCCATCTCGTTTAGCCAGTCCAGAAGCTTGGGAAAACATATCTTTAGCAGTCCAGTGGTTCCAAAGTGACCTAGATGTTGATGCATTAGAGAGAGAAAGCGAATCTTTGCTTTGCAGACATCATTGCTGCTCACCAATGTCAATAAAAAAGCGAAGTCCGAGAAGAGAAAGGCCAGTTTTGACGACCTATTCAAGGTGTTGCAAACGGAACCAGAATGCTACGGAAACGTCATAAAGCTAATGAAAATAACTTTGACACTGCCACATACCTCAACTAGTGCTGAAAGAGCATTTTCGAAGTTGAAACTGATCAAGTCTAGACTAAGGTCAACAATGAAGCAAGAAAGGCTAGAAAGTCTTATGCTGATGTCTGTGAAAGCCGACATATTGGAACAGCTTGATCTGGAAGAGCTTGTAGAAAAATTTGTAGATATGGCTCCAAGAAAAATGGATTTAGTTTAAAGTTAGATGGATTCAGTTTAAATTTAGATAGCATAGCAAATGTGTAATGATGACAATAGGTCTAAAATTTTATGAAGTTTTCAGTTGGTAATCAACATAATTATTAAATCTAAAGATTTTGTCAAGGGTATTGCGTCTTGTTCTAGAGTAATATAACCGAATTTTGTGATTTATGACCGTCCAATTACTTCAAAACTCGTATCAGAATGCAGGAAATGGCGTTTCCGAGCCCTGGAAACCAAAATTTTCCCGGGGGAGCATGCCCCCGGACCCCCCTAGGGGGTTCATGGCGAAGCCACGAACCGCTTGCCCCCCCAAATATTCGACCCTGGCTACGCCACTGATTGCAACAAAAGATTCAAGGAGAAAATTTGCCGAGAATATATCTGTGCAGACACAGAAATATATTTAGCACAGAAGGGACAAACTCTAGCTTTTGAAAACGAAAGTATAAGCATTATCAAAACAGCATTACAAACATTGGCAGTCAATATAAAACCAGCTTAATATACACAAACGAACTATAATAAACGTTTAACAATGTTATAACTATCTCACTTGCCAGCAAAGATGATTTTGAATCCTGTACGACTAACATTTCTCATTCGAGCTATTTCTGCTTTGAAACGAGCTCGCCGAGCTATACTCCGTGACGGATAAAAACGACCCCCAAAGAAAGGCCATTAAAATTAACTGTAACGTCGTAGTGCATAGTTTCATAAAAAATCTCTTGTATATTCTTACAAATTGAAAAAATAAATCATTTTAAATTATTTGCTGAGAATTGAGTTTTTGAACGAGAAATTAAGGATGCTAGAGGATACTAAATGATATTGAATGATACTAGGGGATATTAAATGATATTGAATAATATTAGAGGATACTAATTTATGCTAGAGGATACTAAATGATATTGAAGAATATTAGAGGATATCGATCCAGGATATCGACTTAGCTATGATATTGATCCAGTGTCACTACGGGAGGAAACCTAAACTAAACCAACTTTATTTATATTGGATGGCTCTATCAGTTCTAAACTGCTCCCCTAGAGGTCCAGTAAGGATCATCTCTTATTGATCCAGTGTTACTACAGGCTAAAACCTAAACAACAACTAACTTTATTTATTCTGGATAGTTCTAACAGTTCTAAACAGTCCTTCCTAGCTAGAGGTCCAGTAAGGATCATCTCTTATTGATCCAGTGTTACTACAGGAGGAAACCTAAACTAAACTATATTTATACTGAATAGCTCTATCAGTTATGGACTGTTCTTCCTAAAGGTTCAGTAAGAATCATCTTTTATTGATCCAGTGTTACTACAGGAGGAAACCTGAACTAAACTAACTTTATTTGTACTGGTTAGCTCTATCAGTTATGGACTGTTCTTCCTAGAGGTCCAGTAAGGATCATCTCTTATTGATCCAGTGTTATTACAGGAGAAAACCTAAACTAAACTAACTTTATTTATACTGGATAGCTCTATCACTTCTAAACTGTTCTTCCTAGAGGTCCAGTAAGGATAATCTGTTATTGATCCAGTGTTACTACAGGAGAAAACCTAAACTAATCTAACTTCATTTATACTGGATAGCTCTATCAGTTCTAAATTGTTCTTCCAAGAGGTCCAGTAAGGATCATCTCTTATTGATCCAGTGTTACTATAGGAGGAAACCTAAACTAAACTAACTTTATTTATACTGGATAGCTCTATCAGTTATGGACTGTTCTTCCTAGAGGTTCAGTAAGAATCATCTCTTATTGATCCAGTTTTACTACAGGAGGAAACCTAAACTAAACTAAGTTTATTTATACTGGATAGCTCTATCAGTTAACTGGATAGCTCTATCAGTTATGGACTGTTCTTCCTAGAACTCCACTAGAGTCATCGCCTATTGGTCAACCCATTCTCTTCTTTGGTAATGATGATATACGTCATACGGCCACCCATGAATCTATGAGGTAATCATCATACAGTTGCACTTGTTTCATTGACCTAACCCTATCAGCATGACCATTCAACTTGGATGATTATGCCTTTGAATATTATCAACATAATCATTCAACTTGGATGGTTATGCCTTTGAATATTATCAGCATAACCATTCAACTCGGATGGTTATGCCTTTGAATATCATTGCCATTACAATTCAATCTAATTCAAAAAGTTAATCATAATCATGGTTCACTTTAATCGGTAAGAGTAAGCGGGGGGGGGGGGGATTGCTTATAACCTGAATAAAACACGAGGTTTTGGTAGAGTCGAACTAAAATGGCGAAGTTAGTAAGACAACTACATACATAAATTACACCACTGGACTTTACCTTTTCAATCAATATATTTAACATTTAAATACATACAATGTTAAATCCTACAATGTTTATCTATTTGTGCGAGTGTGTATAAGGAAGTTACATGATAAGAGGTTGACATGTAACCAAAACGCCACGTGGACACTAGATTGAAATAACCTATGGGGATTTGTATGCTTACTGTCACAGAGTAAGCTATCCTCAGGGCCGCCCAGAGGAGGGGGCAAAAGGGGCAATTTGACCCTGGTTGCAGGCTTAAGAGCACCACCAAAAGGGGATTTTAGAGAGTAGAAGTGGCCCACAAAAACTCCCAAGAGGGTATTTTGCCCCGGCCTCCCAAAAAGCTCTGCGCAGTCCTGGCTCTTTTGTGCTCTCTCGCAGTATTGCGATGGACCAGTGTCCGTCTTGTAATCGGCTGTGTAATATATCATGAACAAGGAGTATATATTATGGTTTTAAACACAATAGCCTAAACTTTTGCGGGCATCCAGTCAATGTTCGTGTTCGTTTATCTATTCATGATAATACACAGGGATTCATTTTCGCCATTGGTTAACTTGACGTGAAAACAATAAACGCGTAACGAAAAACGAACCTATTTTTCTATCTACATATCTTTTAAAATTCCCTTTCATTGACTGTTTTATTAACTTTCAAAACCTAAAAAATCACGCGACCGGTTATCGAATTGCGTCCGGTTTGTCTCAAAATTAAGCTATACACGGGTATAAAAATCATTAAAAACAGGGGCGTAGGGAGCTTGTAAAAATGAGGGGACCCGAAATTTTGAAAATTTGGAGTCTCCAGATGGTTATTGCGAGGGGGCCGGCCCGCCTGCTTCCTACCCCCTGATTAAACATTTTTAATCTATATGTACGAATACGTTCTAATTGCATATATAATCGACAGAACTGATTAATGAAATATTTCAGAATAAAGATTGAGTAAACGGCTTTGATTGTTTTACAATGTGATTATACGGGAGTACGGCAGAACCAAGGGCAATAAATGGTTCGGGATACTGATTTATTAAAAATAGAACTTTTGTCACGAAATAAATGTTGGGGGGTGTCTTATATTTGCTAGATGAAGCTGGGGCATCTTGAAAAAATATCCCCATTATTAAAGGACGAGGGTGAATTGCAATTTTAATTATATAATAATAATAATAATAATAATAACAATAATGTAGGTTTAATGAACTCTTTTGCAGTTTATAAATATTTACAAGCTGAATTAACGAGTTTAGGTTTTTAAGCTATATACATTAAAAAAGTAATTAATTAAAAAATTCCGATTATTGTTGTTTCGAAAGTTATAGTCATGTTCTCTATTACATGGATGTGGTATTAATGCATTCAAAAGGTGATTTGGAGATTTAATTTTATCCATATATTGATTACATAGTTTTTCACGTCTTGCCTGTAATTTCTCCAAGTTGAACATTCGTAAAAGCTTGCCACACTGGTACCGCATATTCTAGTATTGGTCTTATAATCGCAGAATAGGCCTTCAACATCTTGTTTGTTTCAACACCGGCTTTACGCCGTATACGCAGAGAGTATAATCTTTTACATGCTTTTCCATATATATAGGCAACATGGTCTTTCCATTTTAGATCATCTGTTAAATGTTTAATATTTTGATCTGGCGGGGTTTTGCACAGACTGATCATACATCGGCTCCTTATCGTGTTGATGGACGAATGTGGGGTTTTGGTGCTAGATACATAAGTGGTGGTATAAGTGGTGAAGGGTACGGGTACGGGAACGGTTGGAAAATTGGGTGTTGGAGCGAGGGAAAATAGTTTGGATTGAAGGGAATATGAACTTGGTAACAATCGGGTTGTGGAATATTAAAAGAGGGAGCTCTTTGAATAGGGTTTTGTCGGAATTTCGGCTCACATATTGTAGGTGGACATAATTATGCGAAAAATCGCATCTAAAGCCTTTCAGGCAGTAGCCATTTCTTTTCAAAAAAAAGGGTATTGCACTGATGCTTTTGTTCTTTTTCCATGTTGATATCGATTGGAATTTCGATTTAACATAGATTGATATTGATATCGCGCGTGGATCTGGTGATATCCCCTCTTATCTGTTAAAGGCCCTGACGTGCGTACAGAAAATTTTCTCGCGGCTTTTTCTTTGGGATGATGTTTTGTTTACTTTCTGCAATGATTTGGGTCTGTTCCGAAAGTTTAGCCTTTAAGGCTGTACTGTGGACTCTATATTTACCTTAAACGTAAGAATTTCCTCCATAGATAAGCATTCTGCTGCACGCGACCTGAAAGGGGTCTGCCTTTGAAAGTCAGCATGCCCAGTTCATAGTTCCATGTGATAGTTAGGTCAGAATTGGAGCTCACAAATTTCTTATATTTGCCACCGGGTGATAGCCATTTGCCAGCCTGACCAATGGCATTTTCGTAAATATTTTCAACATGTCAAAGAGACCGTCCGCCATCTGTGAAGCAGACCGAGATAGACTTTGAGGTTACAAATGGCGCTTGAGCAGCAGCTATTAGTCCACATCTCATTAATGGTCTGCCCCATGACCTATGTGTTTAACCCACCCGATCAACTTTCCGTGTGGAAGAAAACCGGAGTACCCGTAGAAAACCCACGACTTTCGGCAGAGCGTTAACTTTTACTCTTCATGAGGACTGGGTTCGAGTCACATTGAAAAGTTCT